CGCCATAGTGTTAAAATATTGGAAATATCGTGGAATTTCTAGAAAGTAATGCACGTACTTGCGAATGTAAGACGGGATGATTGGTAACCCGATCGAGATCATCGAGGTCATCGTCAGAGCGGTTGACCTTGCAGTCGAAGGCCGTCTCGTAGAGGTGCCGCTGCCTAGCCATCTCTTCCTCGTCTTCCTCCACCTCCACGTCCTCCTCCTCCTCTTCCTCACCCTCGTCCTCTCCCTCCACGTCGTCCTCGTCCTCGACGAGTATCGGCTGCGGGTCTATCCTTCGTGTACGACGTAGCTTGCGCACTTGGTGCCGCGTTAGTTGCGGCTGTCGTTGATCTAGCTCATCCTCCTCTTCTTCAGCCGATGCGACGCAAGTACAGACCGTTGTCGGCAGGTCATGGCTTAGCAATCTATGAGGAGGCATGAGGGTGTGATCCCACTCGGTGATGATGCACGACGAGAGGATCTCGTTTCTGGCTGGGACAGCATGCTCGCTCCCCGACGTGGGGCTCACTAGATCCTGACTTTGATAATGTTGTTGCGGTTGTAACGGATGCTGTTGTAGCTGTAGCTGCTGCTGATAATGCTGTGGCTGCTGCTGCTGCTGCTGCTGTTTTTGTTGTTGCTGAGATGAATAGGAACCCCCATCACCCGCCACCGAGTTTCTCTTCGGTATACCGGGTGTTCGCGATCGCTCACCCGGTACGTCGAGACTAACGCTTTTTCTGTACCTGTTCGGCTGTGACTTGCTTATTTGCTCCGGTACCTTGAACAGGTCGCCGTAGTAATAGGGTGATGGATGACGCACCGGTTGATTAGACTCGGTGGGTGATTGATCTGTCAGATGGACCAGGGCTACGCAGTCCACCACTGCTCCGTCCGTCGAGTTTAACTCTTTTCCTCGATCTACTGAAGGAGCACGGGTGGAGGAAGACGCGTACAAGCTGTTCTTGTGCTTCCTGATCTCAACGCGGCGGCCATCTTCGTCATCTTCGCAGGACGAGCCGGAAGCAGACGGATCTGAAACAACAAACGTCAGACATGTCATTTTGAGTACCATTTACAAACGATAAACGATAAATACGACGAAGCATACTTATATTTTAATACAAAAATGAAAATTATTTCATAAATTTATTTCC